TTTTTCAATGATCTTACTTAAAAATGGGAGATTTGAGATCGGCCTGTAGTTGTTCATTTGTGTCTTGTCAAGATTGTCCTTTTTCATTATAGGTTTTATTACAGCAGTTTTTAGTGGTTCAGGAAACACACCTGACATTAAAGAAAAGTTGATGATCTGTAACAGGTCTAACGCCAAAGTCTTTGGAGTCACACAGCGGTAGGTGAAGTGTCTTGCCCAAGGACACAATGACCAGGACAGACAGTGCTGGGGATCGAACCAGCAACCTTCCAGTTACAAGATGAGCTTCCCAACCCCCTGAACCACAGGCGCCCCATACATGTCCACACTTTTCCCCACCAATGGAGTGAATTGTTTATCAGCATTTGCTAATCCTTAAGTTGGTGATGTCTTTAGTCTCAGTTTCAAGGTGTGTGTGGTCTGAACTCAGACATTTATTTCCCCCACATCATATTTACTGGTTGCCCACAAGTGCTCAGAGATATCACGCAGTTCTGGAGAGTCTGGGGTCAACTGGCATAGTTCCTCCTGCTAAATACACAGAAAAAGTTTTTTGTTGTTAACAACTGCACAGTTCACACAGCACTAATGCTTGTTGCCACATGTTTCCCAAACATCTCATTGTAATGTTTTATCCCTGGAATAAAACATTACAATTTATCCTTCTCTCTTGTGAGTTTGTACTGTTGCACTCACTTTAGACCCAATCACTTTATTTAACTTTTAAAATAAAACCTTTGAGATGCCGTCATGTATTTGACAAAGCAAATCAAAGGTGTGTTTGTCTAGGTCGGGGTCAGCAACACCCAAAGAGCCATTTGGACCCGGTTTCTACAGAAAAGTCAAAGGAGCTTGCAAAGAAAAGCATGTGGACTTCTTTAAGTTACTTGAAGACGTTTCACCTCTCATCCGAGAAGCTTCTTCAGTTCTAAGGTCAAATGGTGGAGAGTTTTTCTACAGAAAAGAAAACACTGGGAGCCGCAAATACTTTTTGGCATCTAAAATGTGTCATGGTTTGACAGGCAGACCGTGGGGGTGTAGGGAAGGAGGACCCAGGCGCGGTGCTCTATGTACAAGCAGTGCGTTTATTTACAGTGTATGAAACTAAACAACAATAAATCCCCGTGCTTTCCCCAGACTCCCGTGTCGTGTCTTCTCCCAGTGTTTGAGCTCTCCGCTCCCGTGTCTCAGCACTCCCCCGTGCTGGCTGCTGTCTGGCACTCCACCCCTCTCCTGGGGACACAATAGAAGCAGCCGTCAGGACACATACAACCGCGGGCATACATACACTAACCAAGCACAACTGGGTGACTAACGTGGAGTCTCATGGAATGATCCCGCGTCGGTGGGAGCTCCAAGACTCTCCTAAGTAGCTCCCCCGATGAGGCCTGATCAGCAGCAGGTGTGTGGCTTCGGGTGTGGCCGTCAGCAGGGCCACACCCACCAGGCCTGAAGGCGCCCGCCGAAA